GAAATTTATTACAAGTATATATATATATATATATATATATATATATATATATATATATATATATATATATTCTCATGAGAAATAACCGTGACAAACTTTGGATAAAACTCTTCTCGTTAGCGGTAAACTACAAAGGATATTGCGCTCAGTAACATTAACGATCTGAACAAACTAATCCTCCTGCCTAATTTGCGTGGCCTTCAATCGGTCAGTTGGACATTTCACCCACCCATGTTTTTTTTCTATTGGTATACCCAGGGAATAGTGAAAATTTCACTGTTCCCTGGTCCAGAGCTATATATGATCATACATTTGGCTTAATATCTTAAAAACAACAAATTGTGAGAGGTATATATGTATGTGCATAGGCCCATTTCTTAATAGCGGTAGCAGCATTAACATATTCAACATTTTAATAATAATAGCTTATCATCGCTATTTTATTCATTGTCACTATATATGTTCATTATTTCCAGACTCAAAGGCAAGTCAATTAAATCAAATAAAAATATCTATTCAACACTACAAGAATTTTAATTCATGATGTTCTGCCTTCACAAAAAAATTAAAAAATGAAAAAACATACACGCATACACACTAACTAAAAACAGTACATACTCAGAAAACATATACATATGTACGTCTGAATACTGTACATACAAATAAAGATAGAACGCTAATCAGGAAGCTACTTCACACGTGTGCCTTTCATGATGGTTAACCGCAACGAATCAATCCATTCATCATTCAGTACACATAGTTCGGCAAAAATGCCGAGAGTAAAATTTCTGCGAATACAATGCATAGGCCTACTATACAACTATGGGTGGCAACGGACCGGGTGGCAACGGGCCTACGGTGACAACGGACCAGGTGGCAAAGGGCCTATGGTGGCAACGGGCCGGGTGGCAACGGGCCTAGGTGACAAAGGGCCGGGTGGCAACGGGCCTAGGGTGACAAAGGGCCGGGTGGCTAAAGCTGGCCGGGTGGTTAAAGCTGGCCGGGTGGCTAAAGCTGGCCGGGTGGAAAAATGCCGGGTGGCAACGGGCCGGGTGGCAAAAGGCCGGGTGACAACAGGCCAGGTGACAATGTATAAATGATCACTACTGTCGTAATGATCATCTTCATTTTATCATCATCCCCGTCATCATCGTCAGCAGCAGCATTATTATCATCATTACTATTATTATTTTTTTTTTTTTGATAATTAGTACAGTTACCTTATTTTTCACAGGGAACAGTGAATCCATGAATTGGCTTTAAACACTAACATCTAATCAGCATTATGAATTTGATTAAGACTGGTGTAAATATATAGAAACTGCCTAAACTTTGAAGGTTCGTAGTATGGTTAACGGTATGATTATTCCCGTCGGTACATCGCAAACAAGCTGACTGTCTTGTAGAAACGATCGGTTGTCAAAACAACGACTCAAGCGAGCAAAGAATCTCATATTGAGTGACTCCTTAACTGAATATTGTAATAACAAAGAATTTGTCGAATACAGCCAAGGAGTATATGTACTTGAGTTTCCATAGATGTTTATAATAGGGCATATGCTTAGCCTATTTGTTGTGCAAAAGTAAGGCCGAACAAATCAAACACATTTTCAAATTAAAGCTATAATAATTATATGTCATCATTACCATGCTTAAGTGAGATGTAATTTAATGTTCAATTGAATATCAAAAATCTCCAGTAAAATAGGGGTTAAAATCTAAAAGTGCATTGAAGTGCAAAATTAATATTTTTATGAAGGCGTATTTTAGTATAGTCGTGCGTGTATGGTTTAAATTTAGTAGCTGTGACACTCTTATTTTTTCGTGACTGAACAAAGCAACTGAAAACTTTAAAACTCTCCAAAAGCTGTCTCGACTAGTAAATTTGTGACATAAACAATTTCATTCCAGTAGCGAAGTTTGGGTTTATTTTTATTTAATTTATTTTTTTTTTTGTGGGGGTGGGGGTTCCATGATTAGTTGTTTGACCGAGCGGTTAAGTATTAGTTAATTGGCCGAGCGGAAAAGTCAGGGACACCGTAATCTTCAGCTGTAAAATCGGCGCTGGGTTAAACGGCTCACTCGCCAATGGTTCCGGTGGTGGAACATGTCTTCTAGGAAGGACTTTAAACCTAGTAATCCTGCGAGAAGAGAAGGAGTTACCACGGTGTACAAGTCCGTTCAGTCCCCTGTCGGTTAATGGATATTCCAAGTAAGATAGTGATTAGGTTCACTGATTGGCAAATACTGGGCGCTCGTGCCTATAAAGAAATGAAATGAAAAAAGTGATGGAGCTGGAGGTCACATAGGCCTACTAAGATGATAAGAGGTGATTTTTAACTTGAACGTGATTTTTTTTTTCAATGATGGAGCGACCAGGGGATGTGGCGAGCATTTTCTCGTGTGTTTCATTCTTGAAATCCTGAGCTGCACTGATGAGATCTAACAAGATTGAAACGGTACTGTCTGCAGATTGGAATATATATATATATATATATATATATATATACGGTATATATAATATATATATATATATATATATATATAATATCATACAATAAAGTATGATATATGTAATATCATACAATAAAGTAAACACTATTAACACGTTATTAATGAAAACAACTATACAGTACAGTACTAAATATTTTTAAAATAATAACAATAATAATAATACAGTATGTTGTACCGTATTTGCATACCTGTACATTAACCTACATGTGACATAGGCCTACAATAACATATTGAATAAAGATAGATTACATGTAATTAATAGTATCTCAGTCAATTATAAACATCATAGTACGCATATTATGCGTACTATGTTATAATAATGATAATGATGATAATAATAGTAATACTAATAATAAATAATAATAATAATAGTGATGATGATTATGATGATGATGATGTTGATGATGATGATGGTGATAATGATGATAATACAGATGTACACATGCTTGCAAAGTAAACATTCACTTAAATACATACGTACAGATAATGCCACAAAATAATAATTAATAAAATCTTTACTACAGCGATACAGAAAAAGTCTATGGCATTCTGTAAGTAACATAGAAATGTTAAAATATCATACAATAAAGTAAACACTATTAACACGTTATTAATAAAAACAACTATACAGTACAGTATTAAATATTTTTAAAATAATAATAATAATACAGTATGTTGTATTTGCATACCTGTACAATAACGTACATGTGACATAGGCCTACAATGACATATTGAATAAAGGTAAATTACATGTAATTAATAGTATCTCAGTCAATTATAAACATCGATTTATATACATACAAGTTTTCATTTAGCTTTACGAAAATCGATTTAATAATTCATAAGTCTGTACATAGTACAGTGAATGGCTAGCGATGCAACCCTTATGGTCATTACACAGTCTATTGTGTCGTGAGTTACTCTTATTGTCTCGAAAAAAGTAATATTTCCATGTGGTACGTCACACTTAGCCTAAGCAACACAAACATATAAATATTTGTAATATCGATCAATTAAAACTTGAAGAAAAAAGTAGAGAAAAGTAGGGTGTGGGTTTCCATGTGTCTTTCTGTCTGGAATTATTTGCAACGTAGTTAGTTATCGCGTGCGAATTTGTTAGTACTTATTTAAATAAGAATAATGACTTCAGTAAATATAATTTTAAGAAGATGTGATGGAGAAAATACAAGCACTTGAACACGAATTTATAGTGTCTTTTGATTTATGATTGTTTTCAAGTCTTATCCAAATTATTATTATTATTATTATTATTATTATTATTATTATTAATATTATTAATATTATTATTTTTAAGCGTAGGCTGTCTTTTTAATGCTTATGTAAGCATAGATTTATCTTCTTTACTTTCAGATCGGAAATGTAAAATACATTATCATTGTAATCAACTCATTGCAATTTTTTAGACGCCATAAATTTGCTAATGTGCACGCTCGTATGATGGTACTGTCACTATGGAAGAGCATGGTCATGTAATCTAGACACTTCGTGGGGGATGTTTATCGCTTTGGATTTAAAAGGGTAATATACATGATTAATCCATAAAAAAGTGTTACTAAGCCAATAAAGATGTATACTAGAAATCCACTTTCATACAGAACTCGTTACTGCAATTGTGTGAATATTCCCAGCATTGCCTTCTGTATCTGAGGCCTTGTAATATTATATTATTACCGCAATTTTCCCGTAACGGTACGTTCCGGAGTGTTTCTCAATGGAAGACAGGTCTCACTCCTTGACAGGGCAGCCAAGAGGGGAAAATGTAACAGGGGCATGGGTCTGTATGGGCTCACAGGTATATTTGAATAAAATATTGAAAAAAAAAAATGCTACCTGCAATTTCTATGGCTCCTTGTAAGATCTGGCCCCTCCACCTCGGTGGAACTGCTCCAGAAATTACTACTTTATGCAGTCTAAATAAAAATAGAAATTAGAACAGAGTTTTTTTATACAATAAGACACTTTCAATGGCTTGCCAACGTACGTAATCCTTCCATACGGAAAGGCGTAATATTACGTCAAACTTACCGCAATATTTCGTTGTTATGAAATGGCGCATGCTGGTTAACATAGCGACATCTTTGCCACAATTTGTATTCAGGATATTGGGATTGGAAGATAAGCACAATAACCACTAAGCTAGGCCTACTCCTCTTATTTAAAGAGAGCAGTAAGAGCATGCTCCAGCAACAGTGTTTGACGCTCTCCCACTGTGAAAAGCAGATGTTATTCATTTTCCAATCCCCACCCCAATAAGCCATAGCCTCTTAGAATAGCATGTTAGGGTGAAGGCAATTGTAAGTCCTGTATTAACTATTATTGGCTTTTCCGGGTACCAGAAAAAAGCCATTGCTTTTGTTTGATTTTTTTTTTTTTTTTTGTTTACATTTAGTTTTTTCTGTGTTCTTGCACAGACTTTTTCCGCACATCGTCACTTTGCATTTTCGGATCTTCTTTAAACTTTTAATAGCATATTATATCGAAGATGTGAATATTTATAATGATGTCATTCCACATTTTTATTGATAGGAAGTCACTTACTTTTAATAGCATCCGTATTTCAACTTCAACATTAACAGAGGAATACAATTTTACTCTTTTTTTAAATATTTTAAATTTTATAGTTGTTGCTTGTCGTTTAAATGCTTTTTTATCTCCAAAAAAGATATATATATAAAAGATATAGATATATATATATATATATATATATATATAATTAAATATTTATACCAGTAAAAGTTTTGAATTATCTAGAATCTTAATTAAACTTTTAAATGATTTCAAACTAGTAAGTCTATTAAACATAAAATTACCGTAAATTAAAAAAAAGAACACATATTTTCGTCTCTAAATGCACTAATCACGTGTACATCATGTTGCAATCGACCTTTCCGAATTGTCAATCAAACTTAACAACTGACCAATCAGAACAAGGCCAGGAATACGCGCGTGTCTAAGAAGCACACGAGTTATTCTATAAACGCAAGAGTTTTGCGTATGTTTTTACTCTGTCGTTTTGTGGGAACTTAATAGGTTATCATCGTTGTGTTTCACACACAATCTTACCATGGCCATTATCATGGTCATTATTATCGTCATCATTATTGGTCATCACAAACTCATCATCATTTCCATCATCATAATATTTTGATTGTTGATGAAAATAAATATTCTGATTCTGATTCAGATCATTACCACAATCCTTATCTCCACCATCATCATCGCCATCATTACCACCATTCTCAACATTATCGTCGTCATCATCATCATCATCATCCAGGGGTGGCGCCAGGATTAGCCCGACGTGGGGGCCGAGGTCCCCGACGGGGGGGGGGGCTGACGATGGGTCAGATTTCCCCGACGAAAGCAAAGTGGGCTTGGTCGAGCTTCGATTAATAGGCTTCGAAAGTGGTCCAGCGGGAGAAGCCCCCGAAAATTTTGACAATTTAGGGGTTTCAAAGGCCTATTTAATCGATTTTAAAGTCTACTAATATGTAGATATACACATATTTTTTTTCTCCCCGACGAATTGTGCTTTTTCTCCCCGACGGTGGGGGGGCAGCTTT